CCTGTTATTGTTTCCATGCTGTAACTTTTAGATTAGTAAGTGAATGTTGAGACATTTGGCAGTTTATCAGTAAACATTACAATGCTTTCATATGCAAAATATCAATTTTTTTTTTTATTAAGTCTGAAGGTTTGTAAAGCAATGTATCTCTTGTGCCTTTTTTTTTTCTTTTCACATTTTGCCTATCTAACATGAAAAATAATTTTCATTTTAGGAAAATTTTCAAATTTCACATGCGAAATCTTTATAATGTCGAGATAGTTATCAAACTTTTTTAAGAAAAACTTTATATTTTATCTGTTATTTTCAGTAACAAATCTCTGTACAGGTTTGGTAAATTTGACTGATCTCGCAACCACCATAAAAAATTAGGAAATAAACATAAATTATGCCTCTTCATTCTATAATTAACACAGATTATAACATGAAAACATAAATGTTTAGACGAAATAGCATAACTCTCATAACATTATACATTTATTATTTTTATTATATTGATCTTTCAGCCGTGCCTGGCTAACAGTACAGAAGTTACAACATTGCTGCTCATGTGCACTCATGTTACCGTATCAAATAACATAAAGGTGACCTTTGGTCTGTACAAAGTAACTTGTCTTGGCTGTGTTTTAGTCAACTAGTATTTTGTAAAATACAGTCACATTTCAATTATTATACATTTTATATGTATATAGATTATTGCTGTTTTGAAATAAGTTCTTGGTTATTTTTCCTGAAACACAGAACAGTAAATAAAGAAGTAAAGTAAACAATTATCTTTTCTAGTTATGACATTTGTACTTGGTTGCTGCTTGATGTAGGTTGCTAAGCCTTTAAAAATTTTGCACATGGAGGATATGAAACAAAATATTTTTTTTAGGTTTCATATATATTCTTTTGAATAACTAAAAAGTTATTAAATTACTACATCAATACCATAGAATTCTACTATAATTTATCAAACATAGTAACTAAGCTATATTTGGGTGTAAATAAAATATGAATCTTGAGAAAACTAAAGACACAACCTACCTCACTGAAATCTTGGTTCAGAAGAAAGAAATGGCATTAGGTACATTAGAAAGGCTGAGAAAACCACTAGGGGGACTTTCTGAGCTTCCCCTTTGTTATTCATTTCATATATAGAAGTAAGTGTATATAAGGGAGCATTTCCAAAAATAGAAAGAGGTGAGCAGGGTGCCACTGTGTTTGACTTATTAAGTGAGCAATATCTTAGCAAATTGAAAAGATAAGACCTTCTTATTTTAGATTCTAGCTTGTCAATATCTGTAATT